AAAGGAGGGGTAGGGGGCATGGTTTCAGGTGGTGTTTTGAAAGGAGGAGTAGGTGTAGCTTTAGGGGGTGGTCTTGAAGAAGGGCTAGGTTTGGGAGCTGGGGTGGTGGGCTGAGGGGGTACATGCACCTCCACCAGGGGAGCTGGGCCCAGAGGGGGAGGGGGTACAGCCTGTGGAGGGGGGTTAGAAGGACGAGGGGGTATGGCTTTGGGAGGGGGGTTAGCTGGGCGAGGGGGGATGACGTTCACTTTTGGGTCTGGGGGGAGAACTCTGGGGGGTGGGGGGATGGAGGCTTCTGGGTCAGGGGGTAAGGTGGCTGCAACAACAACAGAGGGAAATATGCAACATAAATAACTGAAGTAAATGACACAAAAATAATACAAGCTATTACTATTAGACAAAAGAAACACTACAAGACAAGCAGGAATGTCATAAAATAAAGCAGACGTGACAAAAACATCTCTTTGTTGAGAAGAAATAGAAGGAGGTTGATACATCATGAACACAAAAAGCAAGAATATGAGAGTTACTCAACAAACTCATGACTAACTAAAACCATTCAGTAACACATAAGTATCAAAAACATAAAGTTTTGGAAAATGTCAATTTGAACATTATAAGACAGAATTTTTTTGTTTTGCAGCTTGCAAAAAATACTTTACTGGCACAAATCTTTCAACATTGAAAGTGAGTGTTAAACTTCTCTCGCATTCTTCCATTCTGATTCCGACACATGCAGACACTCATGGTTCATCCATCCATAATACTTGTCATTTTTTATGTTATTTGCTGGTTTGTTTGTCCTTACCAGGAGGAGGTGGGATGCCATCCTGGTCCCCAGAGTACCCCGGGTTAGAGAAGCCCAGGGTGTCCATCCCGGGGTAGTCTGTGTCCGCCGGCTCCTCCTGAAGCTGCAACAGGGCAGACTGGAGCATCATGGGAAAAACACAAAGTTAAAGATTAAGTACATCTGGCTATGTTAATTTCCAAAAAGAAAATATAATGGACTCAATACATTCTATGTTGTTGTAATGGGATATTTTATCAAACATATGACATGGCACCAACCACATAGTTTCATCTTATAATTGAGTTATGAGCATATCATTATTATTTCAAGAAGTTAGATTTCTCCTTATTTTTCTCCAGACTTAAAGTGTACAGTCATGCATATGATTTATGAAATAACTGCTTCTAATGGCTTTACCCCCAGCTCCAAGTCAAACAACATTTATCGGTCTGCCAGGGATTTGAAGCCATAACCTTCAGATTCTGGACTCTACAATGCTAACCATAAGACCACCTTACCCCCAAACATTGGGGCCTGCCTGGGATTCGAACCCAGAACCTTCAGATTCCAACCACAAAACCAAAGTCTTACCCCCGGCTCCATATCTCCATATTCTGACCATAGATACTTCTCCTCATTTGCAGTGCCTGTTCAAGGTAGCTTTTAGCTTTGCTGTAGTTTCCCAGGCTACACCAGGCTGATCCAAGGTTATTAAGCGACCTGGCAATATGAGGGTTTTGAGCCGTCTGACCATAGATACTTCTTCGCATTGCCAGGGCCTGTTCATGGTAGCTGACAGCTCTCTGGTAATCACCCAGGTCTTGATAGGCTATTCCCAGGTTGTTGAGTGAGACAGCAATGTCTGGATGTGCAGTACTGTCACCATAGATTCTCTTCCTCATCTGCAACGCCTCTTCCAGGTAATCAATTGCTTTCCTGTTATCTAAAAGATCCGTCCAGGTTTGGCCTAGAATGTTGAGTGCCCTGGCAATGTCAGGATGATCAACGTTTGGACCATGGACACTCCTGTACATCTGCAGTGCCTGCTCATGGTAGCTGAGTCCTTTCCTGTGATCACCGAGTCTCATAAAGGCCAGCCCCAGGTGGCTGAGTAAACTGGCAATATTAGGATTGTTTTCCTGACCATGGATGGTCCTGTACATCTGTAGTGCCTCCTTGAGGTAGGTAGTTGCTTTTTTGTAATCACCCAGGTCATGGCAGGCCATCCCTAAGCTGTTAAGAGACTTTGCTATGTCAGGATGAGCTACATTTAGAACATAGATAGACCTTTGCATCTGCAGTGCCCGTTCATGATAACTGATAGCTGTCTTGTATTCACCCAAATGGTGCCAAGAAATTCCTAGGTTGAAAAGTAAAGTAGCAATGTTTGTCTCAGTATTACCTTCCTGTTTGTTAAGGGCCTTCTCAAAGAATTGGATAGCTAGGCTATACTTGCACAGCTGAAAGTACATTGTTCCACGTGAACTTGAAGATCTATCATAGAAATCAAACTGTAAGACTGATTCTGAAGTTAGACCATCTCCAGACCACAAAGATAAGTAAAGTTTCAAAGCGTTTGAAGAATAAAAGTATCTAAAAAGCTGTTTTTCATTTGGTATATGAAAAACTGCCTGCAGTGCAGGTGTTTGATCTTTATCATTGGCTGATTTCTTCTCATCAAGCACTATTTCCATTGAGGCCATAGCTGACAGGTTTTCCTTCTGTCCACCATTTGCGATGTAGGTTCTAAGCCTGAGTTCTGCTGAGATGCTGGTAAGCACTGTCAGGTGGTGTGCATTGGTGGGACTGATCACTTGTTGGTTTTCCATTTCTTCTATTGTCTCCCAAACTGTGGTAGGTATGATGCCTGAAGACAGTGCCAAGCAGTCCACTGCTACAGCTGGGAAGCGATAGAGGTCCTTCTTTACATCAGTCAGTTTTGATTTAATGGTTTCTTCAGGTTTGTATGTCATCATATCTTCCTTCCTTGTCTCATGTGCCAGTTGTTTTGCCATTTTACCCCCATCAGCTTGCAGTATCTTCTCTGTGATGGCCATGTATTTGTCAATCAAATCCTGGTCCCCTGCTATCAGGCATGGGTTTCTCAAGACAGTAGCAAGGTGATATCCTTCCTTCAGGTATACTGTGACATCATTCTGAAGTATTGACACCATATTACTTGGGGTGTGGATGAGTTCACTGGGTGGTTTGTTCTTTGTGCCCTGCCTGCCCAGTGGAGTCTTGCTTGCCTTTGGCATGGAGCCATCAAATGCAAACCCACGTGGTGTAACAGAGTCATAGAACCAGCTGTCTACTGGGTCATCAGAGTGGAAGTTATTGAGAGATTTTATGCCCAATGCTGGGAGAATGGTTTCTCCCAGGTTGACCACCTTGAGGTGTAGATAGTGGGTGAGGTTGCGGAAATAAGCCTTGTATTGTTCACTTTCATCCTCTACCAAGATGGCAAACTCCAGGTCAGAGTATGGAGTTACCAGTCCTGTGGCCTGTGAACCCAAACCCATCAGGGCATACTTACAGGGAGGGGGACCCATTAACCCAATACACTCTTCTACAAGCAGGCTGATGAACTCCTTCCTTTGTTGCGCTATTTTCTCAAACAACTGCCTGACAGCCTGAGCTTGTTTTGCCTCTATCTCTTTGACACATGGGTCATCCTCATCATGTACATAGGGATCCAGCTGCTGGTCAATGGTTTCCATCTCCAGCTTGATCTGGTCCCGCATCTCCTTCAGCTGTTTCTTGTGGTTTTCTGTGTTGTCTAAGTTTGGATTATGACTTATGTTTAAGATACATTTTAGAAATGACTTTTCTACTTCTATGATAGCTGTTGCTATGTTACCATTGAGGACTTGGTCCTCTGACCTGGCTATTGCTGCATTGTAGAGTGCTGCTGCTTTGACAAAGTCTCCCCCATCTCCTGTCTGCTGACCTCGCTTACTGTAGACATCCCCCAACTTGCACAGGGGCTCCACCTCTCTCTGGTACTGCTGGGCTGTGGGGTCTGGGGAGAATGAATCTTTTGTAACTATAGCTACCTAATGTAGATTCATGATCATATTTGTTGTATACCATTAAACCACTTGTCTAATTTTATATTGTAGGATTTTCAAGCAGGATGTGCCGCCTGTTACATAAAATAATTTCAAGACTGTAAAAAAAATTGTGGGGTCGTGTGGCGCAGTCGGTAGCGCGTTCGGCTCACACCCCAGAGGTTGTGGGTTCGAACCCTGCCCATGTCACCGATCTTGTGCCCTTGGGAAAGGCACTTTACACGACTTTCCTCACTTCACTCAGGTGAAAATGAGTACCTAGCTTCGGTTAGGGACGTCCCTCGGATAGGACGTTAAATGGAGGTCCCGTGTTTGGGAGAGCCACACCCCATGCACATTAAAGAACCCACCGCACTTATCGAAAAGAGTAGGGGATCTTCCCGGTGTGAGTGGTTCAAAACTTACAGTCCGGTCTTGCGCAGCTTGTACATGTGCGCACATGTACAAAACTGGTGTGTTACGCCTGAAGGCGGTTTACCGGTTATGCGAAACAAACAAACAAACAATTCCACTGAGAGCGTCCTTACCTCTCACATGTACTGTCTTGAGTGCAGCTGCAAACTGCTGCTCTGCTGAGTCCAGGTCTGTTCTGGCAAGGGAGGAGTCTGCTTGTTTGAGGTATTTCTTGTAGTCCCTTGAGATTAGAGAAAAGAGGAAATTGTTTTGTTACTGGAACCCTAGATCAGTTTTTACACGCCTGCATCATCTAAGCAGACAAACTCTGCATAATTATAATGAATGAATTAAACATAGCAGATATTATTAGCAATAATAATATTTACACAACATTTTATAGAAATTTAATGAACAGTTGATGTAGTTTTATAACATGTTGGATGTTAGTCACCTGTATGGGAGTCTATTTTTATCCAGCCACAACACCTGCTATTCCTTGGTCTGTTGTTTTATTGCAAAACAAAGTTAATTTTAGAGTTTGTGAATAATATAAAATAGAATCACCTTCTTCTTTTATTAAATTAATAATGAGATGGGCATCAACAAACTGTCAGTTACTTGTACATGTAGCTTGTTTTTTGTCAACCTTTTTTGAAGATAGTAATATTTTAGGCCTCCCCACCTTGTTCTGTCTGGCTGAGGATGTTGGTTCTTGATGTTGTCATTTCTTGTGATGTTTGCTGACTGATGCCCCAGGCCTGGTCTTCCTTCTTTTGGTCTGGATTTTTTCAATGATGGTTTCTGTATGGTTGCAAAATGAAAGCCACTGTGGCCTTATGAAGCTTAAGTCTAAAGTAAGCTCCATACAGAAATGCTCCTAGCTGGGATCAGCGGGACTTGCTTGTGCTAATGTCATACAGTGTATGATGATGATTCTATAGTACATAATATTCATATTTAAAGCCATAATTAAGTAAACATGTTCTGAGACTTGGTCTTTACAGTTTTATCCAAACAAATAAATGGTGATGATGTCATCTGTTTGGTTCTAACTTGCTGAAAAGTTAACTCACCTTTTTCACTGCTTCCCTGATCTTTTCCATGCACTTGATGCGATGTTCCAGAGTCAGTTCTGTCCCAGGATCCCCACATGTTGTCAGGGCCTTGTTGTACATGGCAGCTGCCTTGGAGAACTGGGATACATCAGGGGTTGTTTTGCCTTTCTCAAGGTAGAGGTCTCCAAGGGATTTAAGAACCTCAAGCTCCAAGAACACATCGCCATTTGTGATTGCAGTCACTAATGTTTCTGTGTAAGTCTCCTCTACAGAGTGCCAGGGCTTACCAACTCTTCTGTCCAGTTTGTCACAAATTTTTGCCACCCTTAAGACATTACTATCAGCAGTACCCCAGTAGTCTGGTGACTGATACTGTGGACTGTATCCCTGCAGCAGTTGTCTGGAGAGTTTCTCCATGTAGCCGATACGATGTTCCAGTGTTTCTCCCATGTCTGGATCTTTGCAGTGCCGTACGGTAGCAGCATACAGGGCAGCAGCCTTGTCAAACTCTGCTGAATCTTTACTGAGCTTGGCTTTCTCAAGATGCAGGTCTCCAAGACTTTTCAGGACTTCTACCTCCATACAGTGATCATTGCTAACAATAGCTTCTCTCAGTGCCTGCCCAAAGACAACTTCTTGGACAGTTTGATTTTTGAGACACTGCTCTAAGTTCTGTAGCTTGTCTGCCAGGCTGGTCATGTTGACTTCAGACATCTTCCTGTATTTGTCATGCAGCAAAGGGACAAAATGTTGCCTTGAAAAAATTTAAACTTCACATTGTGACAACCTTACATTTTGTACACTGTAGGTGATTATGATAAAATAAAATGTATCCCTCAATTTTTGTGACTGATACTGTGGAGTGTACCCCTGCAACCGTCTTTAGAGTTTGTGTTTAAGTCAAAAGAATAACAGTATGTAACTATACTACCACTACTACAGTACTACTACTGAACTACAGTCTTACTGACTAATGTTTTAGTGGTTGCTAGATGTAACAATGACTCCCCTCAGTACCCACTAGAAACCAAGTTCTGGATCTGGTTCCTAGCGACCTGCCTACATCACAGTAACTGGCAATATTATATCCCTTGCAAGATTGTGGAACTCTGGCAGTCTAAGCTCATTGTGGATGTATAAGATTTCTCTAAATCTCACCTGGATGTCTGAGACTCCACAGCTGTGAACCAGCCTGGGTAGAGACTTGTCTGTTCCTAACTGTACTTTCTTCTGGGTTTATATATAGTTGACTCGGGGGACTTTCCCATTACGTCATGCCTAATGTCAACTACAGTCTTTTGTATCCCACACAAAAACAACCTGGGGCTGAAAGGACTTGTTACACCACGGTTCACTGGGCTCTGTGAATGTCACTCTCACTACGGTAGGGCATGCATGAACCTTACTGTGAACCTGCCTGTGAGTGGGTAGATACTTGTCTGTTCCTCCCTGTACTTGTGATAGTTCTGAGTTTCACCTCTGAATTTTGCTGCACCACCGGGACTTTCCATTATGTCATACATTTACCTACATGTAGACCTGTTTGTCTTATGACTTATTACTTATTAACTTAATGTTTACACCTTTGGCCACTGGGTCCTGTGTCAAGCATACAAAGCATGCATTGGTCACAACAAAAGATGAATAACTAGAATTCTGTGTCTGAAACATGTCTGAATCTCACTTCGAGACTTGTCTAAATCTCACCTGGATGTCTGAGGCTCCAACCTGCATAGGTAGAGACTTGTTACTTTGTTCCTCCCTGTACTTGTGATAGTTCTGGTTTCCCCCTGTTCAATGTCCCTGTTTGTTCTTGTACCTGTTTTTCCCCTGATTTACTGCTGACTAAGATAACCCCCTTTGCACCTTTCCTGTTTCACAGTCCCCGTCCAGTCATGCCTAATTTGGGCAAAATTGACCATGCCAAGCCTCGGATGGTAACTGAAAGGTCATCACCTGATGTGTGTTTAACTTTGAAAATCAATGCATATTTAATATATTGTCGTGAAATTAAGTTCAATCGAATCTTCTAATAGTATATATATTAAGTTATAGTTAGTAACATCCTCTTTCTACTCAAGGCTGCTGCTGCTAAGTGACCAAAGATGTGACAGATATATATGCGACAGATTGCTCACTGAATTAGAAATTCATAAAAGAGAACATTATTTAGTTAAAAAAAATTTTGTGTGTCTTCTTGTTTTTTAATGACTTTTACATTGTGCATCATATTTAGCTTATAAAAATCACAACATTCAATAAAAATTATTTATTTCAGTGATCAGTCATTTGGTGGAAAAACACTCACTATCTGGTTTATCGTCTACCTCTATCCTATGGACTAGTTGATAATATGTACCCCATTCTCTCTGTTCCAGGTTAGTTTGTGCCCTCTGCTGCCAGACAGTCGACCCAGCCTGCTGCTAGTGTGTACTGGGTACAGGGGCTGTGCACCCAGGCTACTGGAGGTAATTATAAAACAATGAACATTATCCTAAATCTACTTTTAAGAGTTGTAAATGATTATTAGTTTGTTGTTACGGTTAAACAAAAACATTTCATGACTTGGCTGTTCTTTGACTGTTTTATGACTGTCACAAAATGTACTTATTTATGGTATATATTACTCTAAGGCTTACTATTTATGGCTGGCATAGAGTGTTGAGTATCTTCCTGTATTTATCTTGAGTGTGTGGATGTTCTAACCTCCTCCCACACTTACAATGTATGTTAGGCCCTGCAGGAAGTGAGACAGACCATGTGTGACCTGCAGGGGGAGAGGGACGTGTTGGAGGTGGTTCCCATGCAACAGTTACTGGGTAAGGGTCTGGTCACATGTTGTCTTTTTGCTGTGCAAACTGAGGGTAATCCTGGCATAGTTGTCTTCAGCTTTCTCATTTTTTGGAAAAGGCTGCTGACGGTTCTGTCACCCAGCTTGCATGAAAATACTGTCAGTGACATGGAAATTGTACCACGGCCAACAATGAGCCTGAAGTTGTATTCTGCACTGTAGAATTCATGCAAATTCAATGTAAAACTATACAGTTGTAGTAGTTATTAAATATGCTGTTATCAGAATCTAGTATACCCCCTTCAACTTTGACAGGATAGATTTTGGTATATTAACGGATTTGTAAGACATGTCCAGCAAGGTTGAAAACAAACAGTCTTGAAAAATGTACAAACAGTACCCAAATTCCAATGCTGTAATTTGGATTGAGTGCATAAATTTCAGTGTTTACTTCAGATTGTGTTGTGTTAACAGGAGATGGGAGATTCCAGCACTTCCTGAAGGCAGCTAATGAGACAGTTCTACATAGGAGCCTAGCAACGGTCGTCATGTGGGAGAAACAGCTTCTACAGAACTGCCACACACAGGGGGACTGAGAACAGCAGCATAGCAACGGTCGTCATGTGGGAGAAACAGCTTTTACAGACCTGCCACATGCAGGGGAACTGAGAACTAAGTAGTGGTAAGCATTCTTAGGCAAAGTTGAACCGTACTGTAATTTCCAACAGAAAATTGTAATGGGTAGAGAGGCGGTTAATATTTTGGCTGTACAACACCAATCTTGTCAAACATCCCACCACTTTTGTGATGCAGACATGTCATGCAGCTACATGTAGAACATGTGATGGTCAAAAGTTGCAGGAAGTTTATGGCGCCCCCCGTCTCAGTTGAAGGATGGTTGTAAGGTCCATGGAAACTACAGGCCAAATTTGCTTCAAGTGATAATAACAGTGCTGTAAACCATCTCTCCAACCTTACTGGTGCTAAAAAAAGATGGAATATTTCATTCCTGAAAGAGCAGTCACTGTGATTTGTAAAGTGACCAACAGTTGTGAACATCAAGTTTCAAGTTTACATCTGGGAACAGTACTGTACTTTGACTACCCAATGCACCATTAGAAAAAATGCTGTGGTTTTGATAGAAGTTTTGTACATATAGATAATGTATAGATTTTTACTTTTATTTTCAGACTGAGTCTAGTGTATTTTAGACCTGTGCCATGTTTGTAAAAATGTTGTTCCATGTAGGTTTTAGTATCTTTTATGCATTAATGTTGCAGATGCTGCAGACTTTTATGTTGAAGTTTTCTTCTTTTATCTCAAGGCATCCCTGTCTGATTCAAATTAAATTTTGGTCAAAAGCACATGTCTATAATTTAGGACTCTTGGTAGTCCTTCGTCGCCGACTAATTTAGGACTAAAGAACTGGATATTATACATATTTTTCTGGGATATTGTTTGGACATGTACAATGTACATGTAGGGTTGGGTTTATCGCATAAAAAGTAAGTGATTTTCCAGTGTTAGGCTTCTATGTGTGATGTATTAGTAGTAAAAACAGACCACTGCAGCTATTTCCATCATTTTTATGCTTTTATTGAAAATAAACTCTTATACAAACATGCCGTTAGTATTAGTAAATTCTCAGTCTGAGACTGTGTCTATCTATCAACCATCAACACTGTTAGAAGCTGGAATTATATACTTTTGTTTGCAACAGTTTAATACAATACTCTTCACAAAGCTATGTCATATTTAGGGTAACTATACACATTCAAATCACAATTCTCATTGGCAAGATTCTGCAGGGCAAGTTAGTTATCTACTGCAACTGTTAACTTTAATCTCATATTTAATTTCAGAATCTGATTCACAGCAATCAGAAACAGTGCATAATCATCACAGCAACATTTTATAAATCACACAATTAGAATTAGAAAGACACATTTCTGCCAAGCAACATCATCACATCTTAATCTACTGCATTTTCAGAACAAATAATATTAAATTGGATACTGTGTCAATGCGTATGAATGCATAGGGAAGTATAGTCAATGCGTATGAATGCATAGTCTACCATCATTTCAATTTTTTTCCCTATAGATTGTCTAATGCAACTGACAATTTCAGAGAAAAGAATTATTGCTTAACTTGCATAGAATCAATGCTTATTGGTACATGTTTGGAATAATAGCTGCAATGATTAAGAAGCTTCACTTAAGATAAGAATCGCCATTCACAATTCTTTATGATTATAATTTCGAGTTCAAAAGGTGACATTTCTACATTGGTCTCAACAGTATCCTAGGATTTTCAGAACTATGAATATCTCAGGCTTCACTGCAGTTATAAAACTTCAGTCACAAAGTTTAGCCTGAATATGCCTTTGGACTGCGTAACATTTCGCACTTGTGTTAATATTTTTAAGATCAGAATGATGTTACATGGGAGATGATTTGAAAACCCTTAAATACCCTAGAAGCTGTAGTATGTAGGAGTTTTAAAATGACAAAGCCGTACTCTCCCTGAACACCATGACTTTGTCGTCCAGAATGTATGCAGGTTTCTTTTTGTGTAGGAGTTATCTGTGAAATGAGTACAGACACTTAAATGAAGCTGTAGAATTTGTACAATTACAAAGCCGTCCTCTCCCTAAACACTACAACGGCTTTATCATCCAGAATCCCTCCCACGTCCTTCTCCCCCTCCTGACTCAGCGCGCGGGCAATCGCTGCGGCGTGGTCACGCTTCATACGGTTCTTACGCTTCTTAGACAGGTCAACCTGGAACAAAACAGGAAAAGGAAAAATTTAGTGGTAAAAAAATGTACTGTCCACTCCATGTGATCATTATATCTCCAAGTTGGTACAAAAAAAGTCATTATGTAATAACATAACGTATGACACAATCGTTAACTATTGTCGTGGTAAAGACCAGACTGTAAGGCTTAAACTGTCTGATGCACTGACACATGATCACACCAGGAAGGATGCCAGCCTACTCTTTTCCATAAGTGTGGTGGGTTCTTTAACGTTGAATTGTGGCTCTCCTCAGACATACAACTTCCATTTTACATCCTTACCGAGGGACCTTCCTTTAACCAAAGCTAGATAGTTTTTTCTGAGTGAAGTTAAGTGTAAGGAAAGCCGTGTCAGGTCCCATAGGCACAATGTGAGGGCATATCAGTGGACTCAAAACTTTTAGCCACACAACACCAATCCGTGTACAATGTTACTTAATACTTACAATATTGCAGGAAAAATATTTTCCTTACCTGTGCATATAGCTGCTTTACATCCGGAGGAACCCCCTCCAGATCAGACGCCGACAGCCCGCTGCCTGAGGGGGTCGAGTGTTTGCTCTTCCGCGACCTCTTACCCCCGGACCGACCCACGCTGGAGACGGGGGTGCTCAGGTGGCCGGACCGGCCCACACTGGAGACGGGGGTGCTCAGGGGGGTCTCTGGCAGCGACCTGCCGCTCGACGACCCAGCTGGGAGGTCAGAGGTGAAAGGGCATGATTTAGAAGGCTGACATTTTTTTAGATATAATGTTCAGCACCAAGGACAGCACTTATACCTGCTCATGGCATACATGTAGTGTCAAAATAGGGAAATTGAGTCAAGCCTCATAAATAATTGCCATCCTGAAAGTATGTTTGGCTTCATCTACAATGTATAACTGCCAATTTTTTGTCACTGCACGTAAGTATTACTCATTTATTATATGTTAAATGCGATCAAATTGTAACAACTGACTTCCAAATCCTTTTGAGAAAATTGTATCACATACCTGCGCTTGACCTTGATGGTGTTTTCTGATGACCTCTGTACAGTTCCCGGGTACTTCCTTTAGGAGAAAGCTGCCGACCCCTCCTTGGAGGGCTGCCATTTTGTGTCAAACTTTTCGAGGGCAGGTGTGAGGGGTCAAGAGTCGAAGGGTAAGTGTCAGAGGTCAGCGACTGCCTGCTGCTGCCTGGCAACGAGCCATTCTGTGACCCGCTGTCCCTGCCCTTTGACCTACTGGCTGAGGAGTCAGAGGGTGAAGGTTGTCTCCTTGGTAGCGACCGGGTCGGGGAAGGCTGGCCGACCTTGGTAGATGGCAAGGTCATGGGTGAGAAGGCGGAATTCTGGGAAGGTGTGAATGGAGGAGGTGGGTGTGGCCCGGGCGGAGTCCTGTTGCTATGGAGACTTGCTGGGGAACTCTGGGAAGGTGTGGCTGGGGGAGGAATGCCTGAAAGAGAATTATATTAATGATGAACCTATAATAGTTGAAAATATTTAGTATCCAAATTTGCCTTTTATATCTTCTAGAAAGAAATAAAGAAAGAAGATCTTCTATACATGTAGCATAAAATCATGGGTCTCCAATGTAAAACTGTAAAAATATAAAACAGTCATGTGACAAGTAGTACAGATTAACCAGCCATGACATCTGGGTAACCATGACAAATGCAGAACTTCGTAACCATGAAAACTAAAGAACTGTGTAACTATGACAAATAAAAATTGAACAAACACAACATGTACAGAACTGTGCAACAATAACAGCTAAAGAACTGGGGAAACATTTCATGACAAATACAGAATCATTGGGTAGCCATGACAACTACAAAGCTGGGTAACCATAGCAACTAAAGAACAACGTAACCATAGCAACTACATGACATACCGGGGTGCTGGGGAAGCTGCCGGCGCCTGGGGGACTGCAGGAGAGGGGCGGGTTTCACAGGGGGAGGGGGGATGTCAGGGGAGGGGGGTGGTATTGCAGCGGGAGGGGGTAGGTCTGCTTCAGGGGGTGGGACTGCAGGGGGAGGGGGAACATCAGGCCCAGGGGGTGGGAGTGAAGGGGGTGGGGGCAATTCTGTATCAGGGGGGTGGATTTATGGGTGGAGGGGGTATGGCCTCTGGTGGTGGGTTTGAGGGCGGAGGTGGTAGGTCTGCTTCGAGGGGGTGGATTTGAGGGTGGAGGGGGTATGACTTCTGGTGGAGGGTTAGAAGGCAGAGGGGGTATGGCCAGAGGGGGTGTTTCAAAAGGTGGGGTAGGGGGAATGGTTTCAGGTGGTGTTTTGAATGGAGGGGTAGGTGTAGCTTTAGGGTGTGTTTTTGGTGAAGGGCTGGGTCTAGGAGCTGGGGTGGTGGGCTGAGGGGGTACATGTACCTCCACAAGGGGGGCTGGGCCAAGAGGAGGAGGGGATACGGCCTGTGGAGGGGGGTTAGAAGGACGAGGGGGTATGGCCTTGGGAGGGGGGTTTGAGGGACGAGGAGGAATGGCCTGTGAAGGGGGGTTAGAGGGACGAGGGGGGATGACGTTCACTTCTGGGTCTGGGGCGTGAACTCTGGGGGGTGGGGGGATGGAGGCTTCTGGGTCAGGGGGTAGGGTGGCTGCAAAAACAACAGAGGAAAACATGCAACATAAATAACTGAGCTATGAAACAAAAATAACAGTAAAACTATACAACAAATGCAACACTACAGACAAGCAGGCATGTCATAAGATAGAGCAGACATGTCACAGAAACTTCTCTTTGTTGAGAAGAAAGGGTTGATGCTAATCATACATCATAAACAGAAGGAAGCAAGAACAAATTCAAATTGATTGACTAAATCCTCTCAGTAACACATAAGAACAAAAATGTAAACATTGGGAAAATTTCAATTTGAACACTGTATGACAGAAGTTTTTGTTATGTAGCTTGCACAAAATCTTTTAAGGACACAAATTTTTAATACGTGTTAAAGTTCTTTTTTTTCATTCTTCCATTCTGATTGACTCTGACTGATTCAGATACTCAATGACATGCTTCATCTATCCATCTGTACTTGTAATTTTTTATGTTATTTGCTTGTTTGTTTGTCCTTACCAGGGGGAGGTGGGATGCCATCCTGGTCCCCAGAGTACCCCGGGTTAGAGAAGCTCAGGGTGTCCATCCCGGGGTAGTCTGTGTCTGCTGGCTCCTCCTGAAGCTGCAACAGGGCAGACTGGAGCATCATGGGAAAAACACAAAGTTAAAGATTAAGTACATCTGGCTATGTAAATTTCCAAAAAAGAAAATATAATGGACTCAATACATTCTATGTTGTTGTAATGGGATATTTTATCAAACATATGACATGGCACCAACCACATAGTTTCATCTTATAATTGAGTTATGAGCATATCATTATTATTTCAAGAAGTTAGATTTCTCCTTATTTTTCTCCAGACTTAAAGTGTACAGTCATGCATATGATTTATGAAATAACTGCTTCTAATGGCTTTACCCCGACCTCCAAGTCAAACAACATTCATCGGTCTGCCAGGGATTTGAAGCCATAACCTTCAGATTCTGGACTCTACAATGCTAACCATAAGACCACCTTACCCCCAAACATTGGGGCCTGCCTGGGATTTGAACCCAGAACCTTCAGATTTAAACCACAAAACCAAATTCTCACCCCCGGCTCCATATCCCCCAGCTGTGCCTGTACATGCTCCACCTCCCTCAGCCTTCTCTCCTTCCTGGAGCTCCGGCGGGAGGACGTTGAGTGCCTGGAAGAGCTGTCGCTAGGGGACCTTTTACGGCGGGAGGATGTGGAGTGTCTGGAAGAGCTGCGCGGTTCCTCCTGTACAGTGTCCAGCATGTAGGGCTGTTGGGTGCCGTACCTGTCCATTCTTCTGTTACTGGTGAAACAAAAAACAGAATTCAACACCAGAAGAAGTAGTAGATGATTGGTCACTTGAATTCTGTGAAAGACCGGGTCTAGGTCAAGCAAATATTTGAGGCGCTTATGTCTTTTGTAGCAGTATACCAAAACAGAAGAACTTTCATGCTGAATTTGATCACTTATTAATCATGCAAATCAATCGCTCTCAAACATCTGGAGTCTAACTGCTCTCAACTTAGTCTATTACTATATTATGTTCTGCTTAAGCTGGTCCAAGTGTAGATTTTGCCCCTAAAGACACTTGGTATGACAAACTAAGATACCTCTTCTCAAGAAGATTTTAAGGTCCACACCTGGACTCCTTGAGAGCGCTGAAGATGCTGTCTTCACTCACCCTGCTGCCGTCTATCTCATCTGCTACAACTGCAGGACAAAATAAAAATCAAGTCATCATTACATTTGTACACACAAACTGAAATTGTACTCCTAAATTCCTTAATATTAGCACCTTATCTCTGTTTGCTTATAAAATATTTTGCTGTTGTGCATATTCATGTGCTGTGCAATGGAGGGCAGATCTAACTTGTACCATACTAAATTGTATCTCTAAGTCATTTGAAGTAGGAGATAATTATCTATATTTGCCTATAACACCTCTTACTGCTGTGCATATATAGGTGCATTGCATTTTTTGTCTGTACAAATGTGTGCAAGTGAAAAGAACTTCCGAATGCAAAGTTGCAGACAGGAAATAGTATAGTAAGTTCATTCTCTCATGAAAGCAGAAATATATGTGTCCATGATCAGGCAATAATAGAATCAGCAGATACAGTTGGAAAGTACAGATATGGTTTAGCAGAGAGAACTTGCTTTAGAGAGATTACTTCAAAACAGCAGCTAAACATTACTAGTATTTGAAACGTAGAATGAATAAACTTTTTATCAAAGAGTTGAGTCTACTCTTACCTCCTCTTGTATCATGGTCCAGCAGCACTTTCTATACTACTTTCACATTCAAGACTACATTGGAATCACATGCATTGAAATTTCATTGCTCATAGGTATGATGTAGGGTGGTAAGTCTGAAGTACTCTGTCCTAAAAACACTGGTACGGTTAGATACATGCTTCACAATAAATGTTAGGGGCAGTCTGGGTGGATTTTGTGAAACAAATGGATAACTTACTGCTTCTTCTTCTATTTCTAGCAAACATGTGGAACCATTTGAAATCAATATTGAAAAGAACAGTAGAAAAACAGAAAGCTTTGTGTGAAAAGAAGTTGTGGAAAGTCTACATAAACAGTACTATTGCAAGTTCAGCACCAAGGAGAGAGCCAACAGGGTAACATCAGTGGAAATGCCATACAAAGGGCTGTTACTGCTCTATTAATGCCACCTAAACAAACAAAATTATAAACATGCAAATTATCCTAAGGTTTGATATAGAACTGGGCATGTTTCTCTGGAATACTACTGAATTCCTGGAGATCAACAGAAGCAAAACTGTGGAAGATTGCTTGCAATCTACATATTTCTAAATTTCAGTTAGAAATTGAAATGAATGCAGATTATGAAGGAAGAAGAGTAGTTATTAGGGCTGAATCTTAACTTTTGACTTTTAAATTCTGACTTGGAAAATATTTTTCATACCTTACACTGCATGACATTACATTGCACATTCTGAACTTCAAGGTCAACATGACTATATGATGATAAAAACATGAGAAAAGCAGTCCACTGTTAGTTAAAGCCACACACACACAGAGTTCTCTCTGGAAAAAGGATCCATACAAGCAAGACAGGAAAGACAGTCAGAAACAAGTTTATTCTGATCTTTCAAAAAGTTGATTCAACAGTTTCTCAAGTTGAAGGTTACAGAAAGTTTTGTTAGCATGACAGACAGTGGAAGAGATTAAAAGTGATCACAGTTTAATCTAGAATATCCTAGAACAAAGATGAGTTGGTAGAAGTGACAGACATTAACAGTAATGTCAGTATAAAAATAGAGAAATATGTTTTGTGATATGTCCTTTTCTGTGTCATCTTTGGCTTTCTTACTTATATATACATGTACATACATCTTACAATGGATATGTGTTATATCTGGCTAACATAATCTTGGAGTCACTTATGCAACAATTTTGAAACTGCATTTTTTTTAAATAAAGTTAAGCAATCACAGATGAGGATAATAAATAAATTGCACCATGTTTTTCTTGCTATACATAATACTGCTTAACAAATTGTATGATAACAAAGGGGGGGGGGTCTTGAGCATATTTTCTTTTGGAATTATCATTCACAGAGATATGTATATTTCCCGTAATATGATTCATTTGATATCATACACTATTTGGTTCATTTTGTAGAATTTACTTGAAAGTGTAACACTTGGTTTTTTAATTTTACTGCACGATCTGATTCCCCCTATTGGCAGTACTGCACCATTTGTAGGTTTGATATTTAGACAAATCATACATCAAACAGTGAAGAATCTGATCTTTTTTCTAACAGAGGTCATGCTTGCCAAAAATTTCCAGTTCTATATTCATTGGTATACAGGGAAAAATTGCGGGAATGAAACCGTTTACAATTTTACAATATACGGTCCAAAAACTCTGCAAATCAACTTTACAAAATATATATAAGGCATTTGAGTTTCAAACTTACGGACAGATTGGGAATATTAATTTTCCAGAAATTTTGCCAAAATAAAAACCTTTAAAATTGTTGAAAACCTACTAGGATTGTTTTTCAACTTTACAGCATATTTTTTCACAGCTTCAATAATCAAGGATACCGTAAGGCATTGACATAAGAGTTCCTGAAGGAGTCGTGGATGTATAACTTCTTCAACTTACGGTAAGACCC